AGGAAGGGCATCGGGAGTGACGGCGCTGGGAACGGACTGAGGAACAGCTGGACTCACGTGTGCCACGCCACCCAGTGCAAGGCTGGCGTACTGGTGAGGGTGGAAGTGGTAGGTGGAAGCAGCATGTGAAGGCGGAGTAGCGTAGGCGGCAGTGTTCCAGCAGGAGAGATGTGTGCGGTTCCCGGGGGCGTGACGGGTTTCTCGGGCGGAGGAGAGAGCATGGGCGGTGCGATGGCGTTGTAGTGGTGCTGTAGGTACGAGACGGGCGTTGACACGTGTGCAAAATGGGCGTGGCGAGCGTCGGGCGGCGGTGATAAGGGTAAAGGCTGTTGATGGAAGGAAGCGAAGTTGCTTGTGGTGTTGAAAGCGTTGTTGGCACTCATGGCTGACCAATGAGGAAGCTGCGACTGTGTCAGTGTACCACAGGCATACATGCTGACAATGCTGATTGTAGTGCTAGGGATGAGCAGCGAAAAGTGATGTGGAATCTCACCTGTGGAAGGTAATATACGTGGACTGCAAAAGGCGACAGCCAATGAGGACGCGAGTTATGACCTCCATTGGAGTTGCCAACTGTGTTATTTTCAACAGTGTTTCAAATTATTTGCGATTTTATTGTTATATTTTTATTATAGCGTATAGTTTCCATTATATCTCATACCATATATTGCTGTTCTTCTTCATATTTTATCATATGCATTTCTATCGCCCCATATTACGTATATCTATTATGTATTTTACATATTCCTATATTCTATGATGTATATTCCTTATGATATGTATTTCTACATCTTATGATATATGTTCCCTGAACATGTAAATACACACACACAACACACACACACACAACACACACAATACATATTATATATATATATATATATATATATATATATGTATATATATATGTATGTATGTATGTATGTATTCCTAAAACAGCGTATGGTATATATATTTTTCCTATCTTTTATATCTGTTCAATGATATGATAATTTTTCATTATAAAAACATTTTACAAAAACTACATAGCTATATTACATTTGAAAGTGTGATTAGTAATTAATTTAATATAATGTAACATTGATATGGCAATTTGCATCATATATCATATCAATGTGATATGATAATTCATGTAATATTGGTATGGTAATTGATTTGGCGTAATGACATGACACTTGTTATGACATAATAATTGGTACGACATGAAGGAAACAGCCATTAAGTGGGACACTCTCATACCTGCTTTTCCTTTGGCCTTGTTGCAGGAAATTGGTTCCAGGTCATGACACGGCGCAGATGACCAGGTCGCCATTGCGCCTCCGTCCCTCCCCGCCTTCTTTCCCTCCTTGGATCTGTTTTTGTCAGTTGTGGATTGGTTGCGTGGATTGAACGTTGCAATGTGTGGTTGGGGTGCACTTTCTGCGGCTCCAGGTGTGACCATGACCCTACGTCTGAATGATTACAGAGAAGGTTTAAATATTCTCCGTTTATGAATTTTTGCAATAACATCCTCAGGTCACATTATTTGTATAAATCTCTTCGGATGAAATTTAAAAGAAGCCTTTATTTAATTTTGAATCCCTTAAGATCAGTAAGCGTGACTGCAGCAGCAAGTTCGCGACAAGGTGTGAATTGGTTGGCCAAACAGGGAGGTCACCAAAGGTCATGCGTGCTCGCGGCCTTTGCATGGCGACAAATGATGATTAATGACGCATCATCATTAGCCTGACTTGCTTATCAGGATGTTATGATTATGACCTCTCTTATCATTACTTCCTTTCTTCTTCTCTCTCCTTTATTTTCTTCTTTATCTCTCTCCCTCTATTTCCTTCTTTATCTCTCTCTCCTCTCTTTTTTCACTAAATATACATTTAGTGGGATATTAATCGTGAAATATATTATTTTCACAGGCAGCTAATTAATGCATAGAGCACTTTCAGATTTATAAATCATGAAAGAATTGTTTTCCTGAAAATTTCATTGGTGACCTGAAGTGACCTCTCGCGAGGGCCACCGATTCACACCTTGTCGCGAACTCGTTCTTGTCGGTCACTTAAACGTTTTCAAGCGGTACTCTCCTAAGCAATTCTCGTGCTTCTGATCTCAAAGGATTAGCCTCCTTACGCTCTAACCGAATGACTATACAACATATGCCGACAATGGCTCCCGTACTCTTTCTCTCGCACACTGACACTCCTTCAAGTCCCAGTCATACATTCGCAGTCCCACGCCTTTCACACACATATTACACACTCAAGAGGCTAGTGTATTGAACGGTTGGCTAGTTTATTTCTATCAATGCTCCTGTATTCCATTTTTAAGGAAGCAGAGTCACATAGAACACTGATTGTTACTCATAAGATACATGGTACATTGTATTCATTTTTTCAACAAATAACAGAATGTTCAGAATATAAGTGGTGCAGGAATGTTGATTATAACAGAAATGTGTGAACATATGTATAATTGTGTTTCATTAATGACAGTAATAAGCATCGTCTTCTAATGGAAACAAAGTTTGTTTGGCTGTTATGATTAGGAAGTTGTAAGATTCGGGGAACACTTTTGACCTAAGTGTCTGTTCTCATTTATTGCAGTGTATGTGCATTTGTCAGTGTCATTAAAGCTGTTTTAATCTCACACAGCATCCTCTCACATACATGCGTCTATGGTCATTCTAAGTTCAACTTATATAAACTGTACCAATATAAAGACTTACAAAAAGTAATCTGGTGTGCAGAAGGCACTGAATCAATACTGCAAATGATTTCTGTCACTTTTCTCGAACAAGGTAACAAAATGAAATTTTATGGAAATTCCTTAGACTTGACTCCATTATACAGAGTATGCGTTGAGCGATGTCACGTGACGGTGTTGACCGAGAAGCAAAGATGCTTGTCGAGGTGAGAATATGAAAGCGGAGATTACGAGTCCAAGATATGCCATCTGTGCCTCGGACGTCCATCCGAATAATGTTCTGTGGATCCTAAATCATTGAAAAATCAGGAAACTAAGGATTAGGCCGTAATCAAGTTTAAACCTCTTTGTTGCCCCGCCACTCCCTCAACACGCCCATTTTCCCGCCCATGGCCTCGCCTCCCGCCCATGACCCCGCCTCCTGCCCTTCCCCCCCCCCCATGGGTAGCCCTCTTGCTAATGTCCATCCTCCCTTCTATGGCACTTCTATAAGCCTTCCAGTGCAATTCTTATTTTTTCCTATTGATTTCAAGAGGGTGAGGGGAAAAGGCGGGCTTTTGCAAATATAAAATGGACGTGAACTTCATTTCGCTTTTCTTAAGTCAAATTATTTTGTTATATTTTGTTTATATATATATATATATATATATATATATATATATATATATTTTTTTTTTTGTCTCGGAGTACAATTCAGTTCTCTAATTTCGGTGAACATTACATAAAATGAGTGGTCCAAACTATACATAATTTACACCATGGCTAGCTGCACTTCTCTTGAGATCTACCTATCAAAAGATGGCTGCAGGAACGAATATGAAGCTTTAGAAGAATACCTGGATAATGCGTCACGTAAGCATAAGTAAAAAGCTAACCAAAGACCAAGTTGCAGAATTAAGTGCATAGATAAAATAAATGTAAAATGATAGTAGTAATTCTAAGCAAACGAGTAATGCCAGAGTAACCTATGGAATTCCAAGTCGTGAAGTTCTCTCTCTCTCTCTCTCTCTCTCTCTCTCTCTCTCTCTCTATATATATATATATATATATATATATATATATATATATATGTGTGTGTGTGTGTGTGTGTGTGTGTGTGCATTTGTTTGTTCACTGGTTTAGTATTCACGTATATTCAGAATATCCAAATGAAAAAATCGTAAATAAATACGACCGAGAGGAGAACCCGCATTCCCAGGACAGGTATATCACTGCTCGCAGGTAAGTCCACTCACTCTCCGCTTCCCACTTGCTCCTTGCGGAACCAAGACTGAGTGTTCTTGTGGCACAGTTGAGGGAACAGCCATGGATTATTACAGCAACGTCACGCCAGAAATGCATTCGGTCCTTTCCATCAACAGACTCCCACCACGACTCTCTCCTCACGTCCGTGGACAACTTGCCAACGTCTCGCCGCCTAACTGTACGGCGGCGTCGGGAGCTTCCCTATCCGTACCTGCAGCACCACTACAGCGCCCTTGCCAACGCTATCACACCGCCCACGCTCTCTCCTCCGCCGAGAAACCCCACGCCCCCGAGGGAATCGCACACATCGCCCTGGTGGAGTGCAAGTCTTATAACACGCCCACTTCTCACGCCACTTACGATTATCCATTCCACCTTTATCAGCAGCACGCCGGTCTCGCCGGACCTTTGCTGGGCCAAGGCAACCCAACCCTCATTCCACAGCAACCCAACGCCTTCGCACAGGACACCATCCTTCAGCAGCGAAGGCGCATGGCTTCTGCTCTCGTCAGCACGTCAGTCGGTGGTCGTCGCTGTCGACGATGCCGCTGCCCCAACTGCCAGGACGCCTCACGAAGCAGTACAGGCGGCAAGAAAAGGGAACACATCTGCCATGTCCCGGGATGTGGCAAGCTGTATGCCAAGACGTCCCACCTGAAGGCACATCTGCTTTCACACAGCGGAGAGCGGCCTTTCGCGTGTCAATGGATGTACTGCGACAAGGCGTTCACTCGCTCCGATGAACTCCAGCGTCACCTCAGAACGCACACGGGCGAAAAACGTTTCCAGTGTGCGAGTGCGGAAAACGTTTCATGCGATCCGACCACTACAACAAGCACGTCAAGACTCACCAGAACCGACGCGCCCGTCTTGCCCCTCTCCTGCCGAAGGTGATCACGTCGACGTCGAGTTGTGCGATGAAGTTGCCGGCGATTCTAGCGGGGACTTTGGCTCCTTCGCATTGCCAGATTCTCCCGTTTCTGAAGCAGATTTGTAGGAGTCTGATTTGGACGTCGGATGTGCGATGCATAATGGATAGCTTTTCTACGTAAGGAATATCCTTTGTATCGCTCTGCTCAGGTGAACCTAAAAGAAACCCTGTGAATACTCTACAGTTTATAATAAAATGAAATGATACGAAATTTATGTTGCTTTCATAATTCGAAATCCATCATAAGGAAAATGAAAAAAAAAAATAATGCCAGATTACAAGCAAGTGCTGTTTAAGCCTTCATATATGTGTAATTCAGTATCGTGAATATGGAAAAAATATAGAAAATAGTTTTTTGCAATTCAACGATCATAAACATTTCCTGTGTCAGAATTTGCGGGATGTTATAGCACAATAAGATGACGCATCATAGAAATTACCAGAACAATCAACTCAGAGAATTAGATCTGAATGCCAACAACTACCGCTAATTGAGAATTCTTTACCTGATTAGTAAAATAGAAAGTTTGGAAATGCAATGGCTGTGGCACCTCTCCCTTTCCATTGTGAAAATACATACGCTTCCAGTTCTTGTTTTATCATATAATCACGAAGAAATACGCATAATTGCAAAGTATGGGATGATGCAATATCAGTGATCGAACAGAGGACAGAGGGAATTCATAATAGATATTCTTGATGGTCTAACTTCTCGAAACGGGGATGTGTTTCGACTTCTCGCTGTTCCAACCAGGCTGCATTTTATCTTTGAATTACTTAACACGATTGCTTCCCTAGCCTCTTCATGTATGACCTGAAATGACCTATTGTGAGAGCCACCGATTCACACCTTGTCGCGAACTCATTCTCGTCGGTCACTTGAATGTTTTACCAGTGTTTGACCTCATTTCCACGCGTTGGCATCATTAATGGATGGAAGTAGTGCTTGTTTTGACAACTAACAAATGAAATGTCAAATCAGAAGTGGGGAGGAAAAGAAGCTGAAAGAACGAATGTTTTCCAATAATTTTCTGTTTCTGCCTTTTATAACTGAAATAGACCATCAGTCGCGTAGATTTGTTGAAAGCGGATTGGATCAAATGAAGGTCAAGAGTTCTTAAATGACCGGTCACTATTAATGCTTATAGCGGGAATAAGTTAATATTCAAGATTCTATGTGTTGTTCAGTGAATCCCAATGTATTCATTTCAGTGATTGTAATATTGACGTATATAGTTCACTAACGCTGGACACGCAGCTCATTCTGAACGTCCATTATAAAAGTTTTTGATTTAAATACTCATATATTCTACAGCAAAATGACAAGCGTTTTAAAGTAAGCCCTTCACTATCTTTCTTTTAGCGGCAGTGATTGAGAAATTGGTTCCGGATCATAAATCAAGTAACAATGAACACGGAACAGGTGATGATGAGGTCATGATCGAGTTCAACCTCTTTGTTACTCGCCGCGCTCCGCCCTTGGCCCGTGTCCTGGGCCTCTAACCCGCCCTGGCCCCTCCTGCCCGGGCCCCTACGCCGCCCGTGGCCGCTTCTCACGCCCTCTGTCCGCCTTCTCTGAAAATAGAGACCTGCTGTTTGATTTGAATGAATAACGAACCGTTTTTTTATGCATTTGAAAAATATATTTGTTTTGTATGACGATTCATCATTAGAAAAGGGTGTCCAACTACTTTACCGCAGAGAATAACAAATGATATACTTCATATAGTGATCCAAACTGCAACCTTTTTTTAATGCTATTCAGTGCTTACTAAATTGCATAAACTACAATAAATTGTTTCTACTTCAGACACATTGTTTTATGCACCTCACAGGTACAAATGATTACACAAATGTAAACAGCTGAACATATAATTGCTTGCTTATTCAAATGAATTATGTATGTAATATATTTCGTATATTCTTTACCAGAGCAGCATACTTATAACTGATGCACAATTGCCACAAACACTTGATATTCTTAGGTTGAGATAAGCCAAAGAGGATGAGGAATGGGCGGCCTTGCAGAGTGATAACCAATTTCTCATTTTCGGATATCACCTAATTTCAAACAAGGGTAACTATTTAGATTCCAGGCGAGACACGCACACATAGATGGTATATATCATAATTTTTTGTGTATATTATGTATATATTTGTACACACACACAAACAAACAAACACACACACACACACACACACACACACACACACACACACACACACACACACACACACACACACACACACACACACACACACACACATATATATATATATATATATATATATATATATATATATATATATATATATATGCACATACAGAGGGTCCTGACTTACGACAAAGATCCGTTACTACGATGACGTCGACGCACACCTAAATACAGTACATGTACGTACATACATAAGCACCGAAATCATTCCTATATGCTAATGCAGTATGTATACATGTATTCAAGACACTTTTATGACGTACATGAACACATAACAAGGGATAAAGGAACACACGGAAGACAGTGTAAATACCACACACGTCGCATCCACGAAATGTCGAAAGACGAGACCGTTGTAAACCGAGGATCCCGTGTACATATGTGTGTGTGTGTGTGTGTATGTGTGTGCATACATATACATATACATATATATATATGTATATATATATATATATATATATATATGTGTGTGTGTGTGTGTGTGTGTCCGTGTATACACATATACTTATATATGCGTGTATACATATGTTTTCATGTGCGTAGGTATCCATATATACATTAGCAACAATTATTTGTTTGTGAATCACCAGTTTGACAATAACAAGTTCGCGACAATTAACAAAATGTCAGTGGGAGTCTATCTTCCTATTATTATTTATTATTATTATTTTGTGTCATTTCCTCATGTTTTTATTATTTTTATTTATTTATTTTTTTCTAATTTTGTCGTTGTTACAATTATGTAGTGTCCAGAGGCTTTCTCGGTTTTCATTTATTTGCTGCTATGAAAAAAATCTATTTTAATTGTCGATAGAAAAGAATATAAAATTCTGCGTAAACTCACATCAATAAATTATCTCGAACATGTGTGTCTGGTTAAATTATCATTTGTAATCTCTCACTGGAATTTATAAATGTCCATGTCATATAAGGCGTTTCTGATTCTGATGCATCTTTTTGATGAGTAATTTCTCTCTTGTATACGGGGGAAATCTGAGGTTTCAGATGTAAAACAGATATTTCAATAAGACATTATTTACTTATTCTAAATCACAAGGTACACAAACAGGTTCACCTATAAATTTACTGATTTCATAGAAGCTGGCTGATGCTTTGTATCTGGTCATTCCCAATTACATCATTAGGCTCTTGAAAATCCGTTTCAGACACGGGAGAGTCTGGCAGAGTAACGGAGAGAAACTCCTCATCGTCACACAGTTCCACGTCAACGTCGTCACCTTCGGCAGGAGAAGCAGAAGCAAGACGGGCGCGTCGGTTCTGGTGCGTCTTGACGTGCTTGTTCAGATGATCAGAACGCATGAAACGTTTTCCGCACTCTTCACACTGGAAACGTTTTTCACCGGTGTGCGTTCTGAGATGGCGCTGAAGTTCGTCGGATCGAGTGAAGGCCTTGTTGCAGAAGATCCAGTGGCACACGAAGGGGCGTTCTCCGCTGTGCGAGAGCAGATGTGCCTTGAGGTGAGAAGTCTTGGCGTAGAGCTTGCCACATCCTGGAACATGGCACACGTGTTCCCTCTTCTTGGCAGCTGAAGCGTCTCGCGAAGTGTCCTGGCAGTTAGGACAGCGGCATCGTCGACAACGCCGAACAGTGAGCGACGAGTGAGCGGTGAGGAGAGCGGCGGCGATGTTGCTTTGTTGGTGAGGAATGGCATCGTGAGTGACGGCGCTGGGAACGGACTGAGGAACAGCTGGACTCACGTGTGCCACGCCACCCAGTGCAAGGCTGGCGTACTGGTGAGGGTGGAAGTGGTAGGTGGAAGCAGCATGTGAGGGCGGAGTAGCGTAGGCGGCAGTGTTCCAGCAGGAGGATGTGTGCGGTTCCTTCGGGGCGTGACGGGTTTCTCGGGGAGGAGAGAGCATGGGCGGTGCGATGGCGTTGTAGTGGTGCTGTAGGTACGAGACGGGCGTTGACACGTGTGCAAAATGGGAGGCGGCGGGTGATAAGGGTAAAGGCTGTTGATGGAAGGAAGCGAAGTTGCTTGTGCTGTTGAAAGCGTTGTTGGCACTCATGGCTGACCAATGAGGAAGCTGCGACTCTGTCAGTGTACCACAGGCATACATGCTGACAATGCTGATTGTAGTGCTAGCGATGAGCAGCGAAAAGTGATGTGGAATCTCACCTGTGGAAGCTAATATACGTGGACTGCAGAAGGCGACAGCCAATGAGGACGCGAGTTGTGACCTATATCGGAGTTGCCAACTGCGTTATTTTCGACACATATTATTTGGGATGTTATTAGTAGGTATTTTTATAGTTTATTATTTCCATTATATCTCAAACCATATATTGCCGTTATGACTTGTACGATATTTCTGTCACATTCTGTAATATGCATTTATATTGTCTCATATTTTATATTTCTATTATACATTTTACATATTCATATACATTATGATATATATTCCTATACCTTATGATATATATTCCTGCATCTTGTGATATATGTTCCCTTAATATCTTGAGATATATGTTCCTTTAATATGATATATATCTTCATTACATTTTTTTTTGGTGTAAAATCATAGAATATGTTTTTATTTAAAGAGATACTAAAGCTTCATATCTATAATGGACTCGGGAGTGGGGTTGATTATTTTCATAATGTAATGTAATATCAGTGTCAATTTGTGCATTATATGATATTGATATGATATTAATATTGTAATTCATAACTCATGATAATAACATTTAATAATAATAATAATAATCAACTCATAACAATGATATAACTCATAATATGCAATTCATAAATAATATTAGTATGACAATTGATTTAACATGATAAAATAATGCAGTTATTGATATGAAAAAATATCAATATGATTATTGAACTAAAATATATTGACATAATAATTGGTTTTATTAGATGCTGACATGACAATTGGTATATGATATATTTGACACTTGGTTTAATTATAATAATTGGTACGACATGAAGGAAACGGCGCAGATGACCAGGTCGCCATTGCGCCTCCGTCCCTCCCCGCCTTCTTTCCCTCCTTGGATCTGTTTGTGGCAGTTGTGGATTGGTTGCGTGGATTGAACGTTGCAATGTGTGGTTGGGGTGCACTTTCTGCGGCTCCAGGTGTGACCATGACCCTACGTCTGCTTATCAAATTATTGTAATAACATCCTGAGGTCATTCTTTGTATAAACTATTCGGATGAAAAAAAAAAAAAATAATAATCCCTTAAGATGAGTTAGCGTGACTGCAGTAGCAAGTTCGCGACATGGGTGTGAATTGGTTGGGCAAACAGGGAGGTCACCAAAGGTCATGCGTGCTCGCGGCCTTTGCATGGCGACAAATGATGATTAATGACGCATCATCATTAGCCTGACTTACTTATCAGGATGCTATGGTTATGTTCTCTCTTTTCATTAATCTCATTCAATCTCTCTCTCTCGCTTTTTCTCTACCATTTTATGTCTTTCATTAAATGTACATTTAGCGGGTTATTAATCGTTAGATATATAATTGTCACAGACAATCAATGCATAAAACTTTTTGAAATTTCAGTTCTGTAAACCATGAAAAAAATCGTGAAAATATCATTGGTGACCTGAAGTGACCTCTCGCGAGGGCCACCGATTCACACCTTGTCGCGAACTCGTTCTTATCGGTCACTTAAACATTTTTCTTATGCTTGACCACTTTCAATTGGAACTTTCCTAAGCAATTCTGGTGCTTCTGATCTCAAAGGATTAGCGAGAATGACTGGAGATGACACTGGGTCCCCTTAAGCTCTAACATAATGACTATGCAACATATGCCTACAATTTCTTTCACGATTTCTTTCGCTCAGATACACACTGACACTCACTCAAATCCCAGTCACACATGCATAGACATACTCATCGCATGCACTTTTTCCACACGCGAGGGGCTACTGTATTTAACTTTCCATAGTTTTTTTTTTCTATCTACGTGTCTGTTACTCATGGTGAGAAGGTACTTTTTGCATTGTTGTTGTATTAATCTTTTTCAACAGCAAATAACACGCTGTTCAGATTGCGATATGTGGTGCATATATTTCACGCATTATGAGTCTGATGAATGTTGATTATAACACAGAAATGTTTGGATGTACATAAAAATGTGTTTCAATGATGACCTTTTTATAGTTCTTATTGTGGGCGCTTTCTCGTCTCTCGAAGAGTGTGTTTGGCTAACTTTTATATTAGAAAGTTGTAAGATTTGGGAACACCTTTGCTTATGTGCAATGTTGTCAGTGTCTTATTAAAACTATTATAATCTCACACGGCCCCTTACATATATGAGTGCGTTCGTATATGCCAATTCAGTGTTCTTTTAACTGTACAGATGCAAAGACTTACCAGAAACAAGTAGGCCAGGAATGGTTGCCTTCCTCCTGCTCCTCCTCCTCTTCCTCTCTTTGTCCGTCTCCGCCTCTTCCTCCTCTCTTCCTTATCCGCTCCTCCTCCTCCTCTCTTCGAAGAGGGGGAGAAGGAGGAAAGGAGAGGTAGGAGAAAGAGAACGAGTGGCGGAGAGGAAGAAGAGGAGGAGAGGCGGGAAGGAGGAGGAGAGGCGGGAGAGGAGGGGCAGACGGCGGAGAAAATGAAAGTGAAGTGTCTTCGGATTACGTATTCGAAATTACCGTCTTCTCTGATTCCTCTTCTCCTTTTATCTCCCATTTCCTTCTTCCAGCTCTTCTATAACTTTTTTTTTAAATGAAATGATAAAATTTGTTGCCTAGTCTTTTATATTCATCATAAGAAGAATGGCAAAAAATAATGCCAGATTACAAGCAAGTGCTGTTTAAGCCTTCATATATGTGTAATTCAGTATCGTGAATATGGAAAAAAAGTATTAGAAAATAGTTTTTTGCAATTCAACGATCATAAACATTTCCTGTGGTCAGAATTTGTAGGATGTATTATATCACAATAAGATGACGCATCATAGAAATTACCAGAACAATCAACTCAAGAGAATTAGATCTGAACGCCAACAACTACCGCTAATTGAGAATTCTTTACCTTAGTAAAATAGAAAGTTTGGAAATGCAATGGCTGTGGCACCTCTCCCTTTCCATTGTGAAAATACATACGCTTCCAGTTCTTGTTTATCATATAATCACGAAGAAATACGCATAATTGCAAAGTATGGGATGATGCAATATCAGTGATCGAACAGAGGACAGAGGGAATTCATAATAGATATTCTTGATGGTCTAACTTCTCGAAACGGGGATGTGTTTCGACTTCTCGCAGTTCCAACCAGGCTGCATTTTATCTTTGAATTACTTAACACGATTGCTTCCCTAGCTTCTTCATGTATGACCTGAAATGACCTATTGTGAGAGCCACCGATTCACACCTTGTCGCGAACTCATTCTCGTCGGTCACTTGAATGTTTTACCAGTGTTTGACCTCATTTCCACGCGTTGGCATCATTAAAGGATGGAAGTAGTGCTTGTTTTGACAACTAACAAATGAAATGTCAAATCAGAAGTGGGGAGGAAAAGAAGCTGAAAGAACGAATGTTTTCCAATAATTTTCTGTTTCTACCTTTTATAACTGAAATAGACCATCAGTCGCGTAGATTTGTTGAAAGCGGATTGGATCAAATGAAGGTCAAGAGTTCTTAAATGACCGGTCACTATTAATGCTTATAGCGGGGAATAAGTTAATATTCAAGATTCTGTGTGTTGTTCAGTGAATCCCAATGTATTCATTTCAGTGATTGTAATATTGACGTATATAGTTCACTAACGCTGGACACGCAGCTCATTCTGAACGTCCATTATAAAAGTTCTTGATTTAAATACTCATATATTCTACAGCAAAATGACAAGCGTTTTAAAGTAAGCCCTTCACTATCTTTCTTTTAGCGGCAGTGATTGAGAAATTGGTTCCGGGTCATAAATCAAGTAACAATGAACACGGAACAGGTGATGATGAGGTCATGATCGAGTTCAACCTCTTTGTTACTCGCCGCGTTCCGCCCTTGGCCCGTGTCCTGGGCCTCTAGCCCCGCCCATGGCCCCTCCTGCCCGGGCCCCTACGCCGCCCGTGGCCGCTTCTCCCGCCCTCTGTTCCGCGTTCTCTGAAAATAGAGACCTGCTGTTTTGATTTGAATGAATAACGAACCGTTTTTTTATGCATTTGAAAAATATATTTGTTTTGTATGACGATTCATCATTAGAAAAGGGGTCTTGGCCAACTACTTTACCGCAGAGAATAACAAATGATACTTCATATAGTGATCCAAACTGCAACCATTTTTTAATGCTTTTCAGTGCTTACTAAATTGCATAAACTACAATAAATTGTTTCTACTTCAGACACATTGTCCTATGCACCTCACAGGTACAAATGATTACACAAATGTAAACAGCTGAACATATAATTGCTTGCTTATTCAAATGAATTATGTATGTAATATATTTCGTATATTCTTTACCAGAGGAGCATACTGCTGATGCACTGATGCACAATTGCCACAAACACTTGATATTCTTAGGTTGAGATAAGCCAAAGAGGATGAGGAATGGGCGGCCTTGCAGAGTGATAACCAATTTCTCATTTTCGGATATCACCTAATTTCAAACAAGGGTAACTATTTAGATTCCAGGCGAGACACGCACACATGATGGTATATATCATAATTTTTTGTGTATATGTCTATGTATATATTTTGTACACACACACACAAACAAACAACACACACACACACACACACATACACACACACACATACACACACACACACACACACACACACACACACACACACACACACACACACATATATATATATATATATATATATATATATATATATATATATATATATATATGCATATACAGAGGGTCCTTGACTGACGACGGAGATCCGTTACTATGATGACGTCGACGCACACCTAAATACAGTACATGTACGTATACATAAGCACCGAAATCATTCCTATGCTAATGCATTATGTATACATGTATTCAAGACACTTTTATGACGTACATGAACAATAACAAGGGATAAAGGAACACACGGAAGACAGTGTAAATACCACACACGTCGCATCCACGAATGTCGAAAGACGAGATCGTTGTAAACCGAGGATCCGTGTACATATGTGTGTGTGTGTGTATGTGTGTGTGTACATGTATGAGTATATATATATATATGTGTGTGCGTGTATACACATATACTTATATATATGCGTGTATACATATGTTTTCATGTGCGTAGGTATCCATATATACATTAGCAACAATTATTTGTTTGTGAATCACCAGTTTGACAATAACAAGTTCGCGACAATTAACAAAATGTCAGTGGGAGTCTGTCTTCCTATTATTATTATTTTTTTGTGTGTGTCATTTCCTCATGTTTTTATTATTTTTTATTCTATTTATTTTTTTTCTAATTTTTGTCGTTGTTACAATTATGTAGTGTCCAGAGGCTTTCTCGGTTTTCATTTATTTGCTGCTATGAAAAAAAAATTATTTTAATTGTCGATAGAAAAGAATATAAAATTCTGCGTAAACTCACATCAATAAATTATCTGGAACATGTGTGTCTGGTTAAATTATCATTTGTAATCTCTCACTGGAATTTATAAATGTCCATGTCATATAAGGCGTTTGATCTGATGCATCTGCGTTTTCCATGAGTAATTTCTCTCTTGTATACGGGGGAAATCTGAGGTTTCAGATGTAAAACAGATATTTCAATAAGACATTATTTACTTATTCTAAATCACAAGGTACATATAACAGGTTCACCTATAAATTTACTGATTTCATTGAAGCTGGCTGATGCTTTGTATCTGGTCATTTCCAATTACATCATTAGGCTCTTGAAAATCCGTTTCAGACACGGGAGAGTCTGGCAGAGTAACGGAGAGAAACTCCTCATCGTCACACAGTTCCACGTCAACGTCGTCACCTTCGGCAGAAGCAGAAGCAAGACGGGCGCGTCGGTTCTGGTGCGTCTTGACGTGCTTGTTCAGATGATCAGAACGCATGAAACGTTTTCCGCACTCTTCACACTGGAAACGTTTTTCACCGGTGTGCGTTCTTAGATGGCGCTGAAGTTCGTCGGATCGAGTGAAGGCCTTGTTGCAGAAGATCCAGTGGCACACGAAGGGGCGTTCTCCGCTGTGCGAGAGCAGATGTGCCTTGAGGTGAGAAGTCTTGGCGTAGAGCTTGCCACATCCTGGAACATGGCACACGTGTTCCCTCTTCTTGGCAGCTGAAGCGTCTCGCGAAGTGTCCTGGCAGTTAGGACAGCGGCATCGTCGACAACGCCGAACAGTGAGCGACGAGTGAGCGGTGAGGAGAGCGGCGATGTTGCTTTGTTGGTGAGGAATGGCATCGTGAGTGACGGCGCTGGGAACGGACTGAGGAACAGCTGGACTCACGTGTGCCACGCCACCCAGTGCAAGGCTGGCGTACTGGTGAGGGTGGAAGTGGTAGGTGGAAGCAGCATGTGAGGGCGGAGTAGTAGGCGGCAGTGTTCCAGCAGGAGGATGTGTGCGGTTCCTTCGGGGGCGTGACGGGTTTCTCGGGGGAGGAGAGAGCATGGGCGGTGCGATGGCGTTGTAGTGGTGCTGAGGTAGGACGGGCGTTGACACGTGTGCAAAGTGGGCGGCGAGCGTCGGGCGGCGGTGATAAGGGCAAAGGCTGATTGAAGGAAGCGAAGTTGCTTGTTGCGTTGAAAGCGTTGTTGGCACTCATGGCTGACCAATGAGGAAGCTGCGACTCTGTCAGTGTACCACAGGCATACATGCTGATAATGCTGATTGTAGTGCTAGCGATGAGCAGCGAAAAGTGATGTGGAATCTCACCTGTGGAAGCTAATATACGTGGACTGCAGAAGGCGACAGCCAATTAGGACGCGAGTTGTGACCTGTATCGGAGTTGCCAACTGCGTTATTTTCGATACATATTATTTGGGATGTTATTTCTTATAGTTTATTATTTCCATTATATCTCATACCATATATTGCCGTTATGACTTGTACGATATTTCTGTCACATTCTGTAATATGCATTTATATTGTCTCATATTTTATATTTCTATTATACATTTTACATATTCATATACCCTATGATATATATTCCTATACCTTATGATATATATTCCTGCATCTTGTGATATATGTTCCCTTAATATCTTGAGATATATGTTCCTTTAATATGATATATATCTTCATTACATTTTTTTGGTGTAAAATCATAGAATATGTTTTTATTTAAAGAGATACTAAAGCTTCATATCTATAATGGACTCGGGAGTGGGGTTGATTATTTTCATAATGTAATGTAATATCAGTGTCAATTTGTGCATTATATGATATTGATATGATATTAATATTGTAATTCATAACTCATGATAATAACATTTAATAATAATAATAATAATCAACTCATAACAATGATATAACTCATAATATGCAATTCATAAATAATATTAGTATGACAATTGATTTAACATGATAAAATAATGCAGTTATTGATATGAAAAAATATCAATATGATTATTGAACTAAAATATATTGACATAATAATTGGTTTAATATTAGATGCTGACATGACAATTGGTATATGATATATATTGACACTTGGTTTAATGATAATAATTGGTACGACATGAAGGAAACAGCCATTAATAGGGACACTCTCATACCTGCTTTTCCTTTGGCCTTGTTGCAGGAAATTGGTTCCAGGTCATGACACACGGCGCAGATGACCAGGTCGCCATTGCGCCTCCGTCCCTCCCCGCCTTCTTTCCCTCCTTGGATCTGTTTTGTCAGTTGTGGATTGGTTGCGTGGATTGAACGTTGCAGTGTGTGGTTGGGGTGCACTTTCTGCGGCTCCAGGTGTAACCATGACCCTACGTCTGCTTATCAAATTATTGTAATAACATCCTGAGGTCATTCTTTGTATAAAACTATTCGGATGAAAAAAAAATAATAATAATCCCTTAAGATGAGTTAGCGTGACTGCAGTAGCAAGTTCGCGACATGGTGTGAATTGGTTGGGCAAACAGGGAGGTCACCAAAGGTCATGCGTGCTCGCGGCCTTTGCATGGCGACAAATGATGATTAATGACGCATCATCATTAGCCTGACTTACTTATCAGGATGCTATGGTTATGTTCTCTCTTTTCATTAATCTCATTCAATCTCTCTCTCGCTTTTTCTCTACCATTTTATGTCTTTCATTAAATGTACATTTAGCGGGTTATTAATCGTTAGATATATAATTGTCACAGACAATCAATGCATAAAACTTTTTGAAATTTCAGTTCTGTAAACCATGAAAGAAAATCGTGAAAATATCATTGGTGACCTGAAGTGACCTCTCGCGAGGGCCACCGATTCACACCTTGTCGCGAACTCGTTCTTATCGGTCACTTAAACATTTTTCTTATGCTTGACCACTTTCAATTGGAACTTTCCTAAGCAATTCTGGTGCTTCTGATCTCAAAGGATTAGCGAGATTGACTGGAGATGACACTGGGTCCCCTTAAGCTCTAACATAATGACTATGCAACATATGCCTACAATTTCTTTCACGATTTTTCGCTCAGATACACACTGAACTCATCAAATCCCAGTCACACATGCATAGACATACTCATCGCATGCACTTTTTCCACACGCGAGGGGCTACTGTATTTAACTTTACATAGTTTTTTTTCTATCTACGTGTCTGTTACTCATGGTGAGAAGGTACTTTTTGCATTGTTGTTGTATTAATCTTTTTCAACAGCAAATAACACGCTGTTCAGATTGCGATATGTGGTGCATATATTTCACGCATTATGAGTCTGATGAATGTTGATTTTAACACAGAAATGTTTGGATGTACATAAAAAATGTTTCAATGATGACCTTTTTATAGTTCTTATTGTGGGCNCTCTCTCTTTCTCTCTCTTCTCTCTCTTCTCTCTTCTCTCTCTTCTCTCTCTCTCTCTCTCTCCTCTCTTCTCTCTCTCTCTCTCTCCTCTCTCTCTTCTCTATCTTCTCTATTTCTTTTTCTTTCTCTCTATTAATCTATCTATCAAATCATCTATCGAATTCTCCCTCTCTCCCTTCTTTTCTTTACTTTCCTCTTTTCCTTTCACACCATTTCAACCCAACAGTATCTTCCTCCCTCTCTTTTCCTCCATCTCTCCCTCCCTCCCTCCCTCTCCCTCCCTCCCTTCCTCCCTCCTCGTCTCCTCCCCCTCCCCCCTTCTCCCTCCCTCCCCCTCCTCCCTTCTACCCTCCCTCCCTCCCTCCCTCCCTCCCTCCCTCCCTCCCTCCCCTCCTCTTTCTCCCTCCCGTTCTGACGACGATGACTCAGCACTAAAGACGGAGAAACCTCGTAGTCTGATGTTCGGATAAATCACGCTCTCGCCGCCCCCCCCCCACCCCCCACCCCTCCATCTCTCCCACTCCCCTCCCTCTCCAACCCTCACGCCTCTCCCCCTACCCTCCACTTCCCTCGCGTCACCCCCCCCTCTCTCTCCCTCTGCCTCTCACCCCCCCCCCCCATTTCGCTCGAGTATAACCCAAGTCTACGGACACGAACCGTGCGATAAACTAGAGAGAGAGAGAGCAAGGGAGAGAGAGAGAGAGAGAGAGAGAGAGAGAGAGAGAGAGAGAGAGAGAGAGATGAGAGAGAGAGAGAGAGAGAGAGAGAGTAGAGTGAGAGAGAGAGAGAGACTGAGTGAGAGACAGAAAAAGAGGGGAAAGACAAACAGAGAAGCGAGAGTTAGGAAAAAATATAGAGAGAGAAAATAGAAAGATTGAGAGGAAGGCAGACAGAGAAAAGCGAGAGTTGAGAGAGAGAATAGAGAAAAGAGAGAGAGAGAGAAAGAGAAGAAGAGGAGAGAGAAAAGAAAGAAGAAGAAGAAAAAGAATCTCTAATCCCTCCTCCACAGGGACAGAGGAAGGGAAACCCCCCGTTCCCGTCATCACGAAGGAAATTGGAAAACGACCAAAATAAAAGGGAAAAAAATGAAAAAATAACAGCAGTTAAAGTACATATATTTTCTTATTCTCATTCTTCAAATCTTGTGACTTTTTAAAGAAAAAAAAATCAATCTCTGAGAGAGAGAGAGAGAGAAGAGAGAGAGAGAGAGAGAGAGAGAGAGAGAGAGAGAGAGACGAGAGAGAGATGAGAGAGAGAGAGAGAGAGAGAGAGAGAGAGAGAGGAGAGAGAGATAGAGAGAGAAAGGAGAGGTAAGTAAACACGATTTCGGGATATCATTTGTTATACAAAAGATACAATCTACTTTATAAGTATAACAACAGTGAATTGATTATATGATTATGTAAACAAAATATATAATGATAATGATAATGGAAATGAAATAACTTAAAGAAAATTAATATGGTAATGAAAGTCATGATGATAAAGATGATGATAATAATAAAGTCAATAATGATAATAATAATGATAATAATAGTAATAATGATGGTAATAACAATGATAATGATAATCATGATAATAATAATAGTAAGAAAAATAAATGATAACAAAAACAATAATAACAACAATATTGATAATGATAGTGATAATAGTAATGAGAAGACAGAAAATAAAAATAAAACAGACTGTATCTACCTTAACAGAGGCAGGAGGTCAAGCTATGAATTATTCAGCAACTCAGAGTGGACTAATAATAGAAAAAAATATGAATATTGCTCTAAAACAAATTATTAAATCAAATTATCTAATCTAAAAAAAAATCGAAACATTTCTGACATTTCATTCAAGCGACACAATCCATTTTTCTTTCTTTCTTCTCAAATTCTCATTAACACCTATTTTCCACGACTTTCACTCCCCCCCACCCACCCCCCAGCCTTGACCTCATATGACCTAGAAGAATATTTATGACCTTCTCTCCCTCGCCTCCCTCTCCTGCGCGGCGAAAGAAGGGAGAAAACAGAAAAGGTGATAACAGCGGTGCGTGACAGATCCAAAGAGAATGCGTTTACTAGCAAGGTCTATATAAGTACAGGTCTCGTCACTCTTCTTTCTGCGCAGCTTTGGGTGTAAGGCCTATGACGTCACCTGGAGAGATGCTGAGAGCAAGGGGCGGGGGGAATTAGAGCATGGTAGGCAGGGACATAGATAATAGAAAATGGTAGCAAATGAGCAGATACTTGAGTAATTTCAGATGTCGGCACGTTGAACGATTTGCATATTAGACATGTTTTGCAAGCGATGATTATCAGCGATTGTTTGTAGGCCTATATCATATATTCTACGTGAATTTAGTTTTGTAATTCTCATGTTGCAGCTTAGACATGGCATAATAAAGACGTAAAATAAATAAAAAAAGACATGGCATATTATATAGACCTTGTTTACTAGTGAGTCGTGAAGGTGGTCGGGGAGAGACAGCGAGAACTCGGGGGCTGTGGGCTCACGAGATGTTGCGTTTGTCTGTCTGTCTGTCTTGGCGTTTTGTGTCGCTTTCTGTCTCGTTTTGTCTGTCTGTCTCACGATCTCTCGATCTCTTTCTTTCTTAATTGTTCTGTCTGTCTCTCTCGGTTCTCTTTCTGTGTCTCTTTCTCGTTTTGTCTGTTGTTATCTATTATGTATGTATATATATATATATATATATATATATATTATATATATATAATATATATATATATAGTATACTCTTTCTTTCGACATCCGGCACCCGGGACAAGTAAGAAATACTTAACAAAACTAAAAGCGAAGAGCAAGCCATTACGACGGCGGCGCCTCGCAAGAACTCCCGCCGCGGCCAAACTGTATCCTTTCCAAAGCTCGGGGATCACGCCAGGACTCCTCCTCGGGATCGGAGAGGAGGAAGGAGGAGGGAAAAAGGAGAGGGAAAAAGCGGCGACAAAAGCGACTGCATAAGTAAGTGTTTCCGCATGATGGATGGCGAGGGCGCGGCCGCCGACGCAGCTCCGCCCGCGCTTGTTTCTCCGCGCGCGCGCGCGCGCGCGCGCGCGCTCTCGCGATGTCTTTGACCTTTCTTGCTTTTTTGTTGCCTCTTGCACTTGGATTAGTTTCTCTTGGCAATTGTTTGTTTGCTATCTCTCTTTTTCTTTCTTTCTCTTGATCTTTCTTGCTCTCTCTTTCTCTTGCTCTTTCTTGTTCTCTCTTTCTCTCAGAAAAGAGGGGAATGAAGGAGAGGAGAAAGGAGAGAGGAAAGGCAGGAGGACGTAGAGAGGAGAGAGATAACGCTCCAGAAATAAAACCCCGTTAAACCTCCCCCCCCCCCCACCACCCCTTCCCACCCTAGCGAACTCACAAGGGGGGTGGGCAGGAGGGGGGAGTGCGAGCGACATCATTACCCGGATCTGTCCTCAACCCCTCCCCTCCCCCTTCCCCTTCCCCTCCCCCCCCTACCCCCACCACCCACCGCCATCCGCTCGTGGCGGACTCGGCCTTTGCCGGAGCGCCAACCGTCGGCGGGCCGTTTACCGCTAACCGACTCGTCCTTTGAAGTCGGGTTCGAGGTCGGTAATGAGATAGCGACTCGTCCTGAGAGCGAGGATGGCGACCCGGAAGAGGAATCAGTCTCGCGGACGGAAGGGCAATTAAAGGCCGGAGGAATGTCGGAGTGGAGGGGGGGAGGGTGGCGGAGGTGGAGAGGGGTGGGTGGGAGAGAGCACGCGGTTGCACGTAGAGGGGAGTTTTTTTGGAGAGTTGGTTTTCCGGGTACTGCAAAGGGGAGGGGGGGGCTGGGGGGGGGGATTGATGGAGGGAGGAGGGAGGGAG